TCCTATTTATAATAAAGCACTTTGTGTATAAGTAGAAACATTAAAGAAAAGTTTGATTGTATCATATTTGCTTCAGCAAGATCGCAAGGTCCTTTCCAAACTGTAAACATGTTTTTGATTAAGCATGTAGGACCTGATCCAAAGCTCAGAGCAATCAGTGGTAAGGCACCTGTTGGTGGACTTTAAATCAGGCTTTCAGTAAATGTTTGAATGAGCACATTTAAAACCAAATTCTGTGTTGCTCTCTAAAATTAAGGAAAATAATAGAAAATACATGCTTCCTATGATTTTTTTAAATATTAAATTTAATATATTTTTAAATATATTTTAAAACCAGATTTCTTGAGAAGAAAATTTAAAAGCAAAAGTTCTCATCCTCATTCAAGATGAGGTACTTGCCTAGTTTGCAGTGTTTAAAAGTTTTCAGCTATAAAGCAGAGAAAGTGTCTGAAATATCCTTTTAACACTTGACAAAGCTTTCCCCTCACATTTGGATAAGTCAAGCAGCGAAATACATTTTGAAGATTATTTTTTTAATTTTTCTGGGCTTGAGACCAAACATGAGAACTATCAGAGCCCCACCCCCAAAAACAAAAGTCTTGTGGAGAAAGTTTTCATAGAATATCAGAGTTGGAAGGGACCTCAGGAGGTCATCTAGTCCAACCCCCTGCTCAAAACAGGACCAATCCCAACTAAATCATCCCAGCCAGGGTTTTGTCAAGCCTGACCTTAAAAAACCTCCAAGGAAGGAGATTCCACCACCTCCCTAGGGTAACCCATTCCAGTGCTTCACCACCCTCCTAGTGAAATAGTGTTTCCTAATATACAACCTAGACATTCCCCACTGCAACTTGAGACCATTACTCCTTGTTTTAAATGACTGAAAATGAAGCTTAGATGATGCATCCTTCCCGAACCCTTAGCTGGAGTATTGATAAGATATGACAAATTCCTGTATATTCATTCATATAATCCTTTGACATCTCTTCTCTTTTCCCCCTCAAAGCATTTCTTAGTCAGCATCGTTGTTGTTATATAAAGTGGGAACCTTGCCCGGTCTGCTCAGCTTACATTCAAAGCTAACCAAGTTTCACGATGTGCCCAATAGTATTGTCATACATGACTTCTGGGATGAAGAGAAGTAATTCTGTCATTTGCTGCCCCAGATGAGCAGCTGGATAACGCTCCCAGACTCCTAAGTCTTGTATCTGTCTTTAAACTTTGACAGCCTAAATTGTCTTCATTTGCATATTTGTAGCATAAACTCTGAAATTATTACAGCTCAAATTGGCTGTTTTCTCTTATTACCCACTAGAACCTTAGACGCTGTAGGTAGAAAAGCGCTCTCCCTGCTAGTGCAGGATTTTGACCTGCCGTGGTGTTTCCAGTGTTTCCATTCTACTTCTACAAGTCCCAAGTGAAAGGGGCCCTTTGGAGACTAATATGCTAAAGACAAAGATTTTCATAATGATAAGTGATTTAAGACATCTTAAAAGGTCTGATTTTCAGAGGGCAGGCGCTCCATCCTTTCTGAAAACCAGCACCTGTAAGATATCTCAAGTTAGGAACCCCAAAATTGGGACACCCAAAGTCATTATTCACTTGTGAAAATCTTGGCAAACATCTCTCTGTGTCAGGAAGTATTTCCTCATATTCAGCTTACATCTTCCATATGTTGGTTTTATCTCATTACTCTTGGTTACACTCCCTTGTAACTATGTGTGGGGAACGATCCCCATATTATGTAGGCACTAGTTCCTCCCCTTCTTAGGTGTAGATACTCTTAAAATATTTGTAGTCTGTTGTCATGAGCCCCTTAATCACTGCTTAGCCAAACTACTGATATTTTAGTTCTTTTCATCTTTCCTCATAAATCGTTCCTTCCAGCCTCATGCCAAACTGCTGTTCTCTGAATGCTGTCCCGTTGGTGAATGCAAATGACCATGAATAAGGGGCCACCGCCAACGTTTCGGTTTGGAAACTCTCAGTTGAAAATGCCTGGTAGAGAAATGAAGAAGCAGCTTTTCTTTGTGTGCCGTCTTTGTATCTCTATGGAAGTTATTCTTCTGTAATGCCTGGCTGAATGAAATGAAAAGAAAGGTAGCTTGGTGTTTTCTGATGTTTATCCAATCATTTGAAAACTGGTTTAAAACCGTTCCAATACCGTATTTCTGGCATCTGTTCCTTGCCTAATTCTGACTTCCAGTGAAGCCCTATTTGCTGCTTCTGTGCAGTAGGTTTACCTTATCCTAGAAACCACCTACTGTGTTCAACGCCCATAATGCAGTGAACTATTCTTCTTTCGAGGTGGCTTCTGGAAGGATCCCCAGCCCCGCCCCTCTGAGCTTTGGGAGCTCTGGTGAAAGTAGTGCCAGATGAGGTGACATGACAGCACGCTCATAGTACTGAATACTTGAGGCTGAGGTTATAAGAGAGATGTGGCCCCAACTTCTCCACCCTTCCTTTCAGTGGTTAGCTGCAGAGGTAGTGACAAAGTCCGAGAGAGGCAGATCATGGCTCATTTAAAATTTCCCCAATGTTTATTATTAAATTCTGTTCGCAGTAGTGATTTGATAGCTTGTGCGATGGCACTTGGCTTTTGTGGGGATCAGGATCACTGGACCATTTTGGTCGTGACTATTCAGGTTTTCAAGGGTCAGAATCAGAAGGGTAGATTTTAGTGACATGCGTCATGCCCCCCCTGTTTTCCTGGATTGCTATTTGGTGCTGTTACTTGGGGTTTTCAGAACCCACAACAGGGGCAACTTCACTATTCACTCCAGGCACTGTCAGGAATAAATCAGTGGGAATACAGCAATTCCGGCTGATAAGACTCATGCAAGTCAGCGTGCTCTATCTAACACTGAAGTTTATTAGATTTAAGCACACCCAGACATATGCAATAGGTTTAGAACAGGGGTCTCAAACTCAAATGACCACGAGGGCCACATGAGGGCTAGTTCATTGGCCCGAGGGCCGCATCACTGACACACCCTCCCCTCACTGCCCCCAGCCCTGCCCCCAGCTTCCATGAGGCCCTGCCTCTTCCCACCCCTTCCCTGCCCCCATTCCAACCCCTTCCCTGAAGTCCCCATCCCAACTCCGCCCCCTCCCTGCCCCCAGAGGGTGCATGAGGGGTGTGGCGGGGGCTCAGGGCAGGGAGTTGAGGTGCAGCAGGGGGCTCAGGGTGCAGAAGGGATGTGGGATGCAGCAGGGGGCTCAGGGCAGGGGGTTGCGGTGTGGGGTGCAGCAGGGGGCTCAGGGCAGGGGGTTGGGGTGCAGCAGGGGGTTGGGGTGCAGACGGGGCTCAGGGCAGGGGATTGGGGTGCAGAGGGGGTGTGGAATGCAGCAGAGGGCTCAGGGCATGGGGTTGGGGTGCAGCGGGGGCTCAGGGGTGGCAGCTGCGCACACTGGGGCCAGGGCAGGCTGCCGGCCCCGCTCCGTTCTGCTCTGGGAAGTAGCTGGAACCATGTCCCTGCGGCCCCTGGGGGAGTGGGACGCAGGGCTCCACACGCTGCTTGCCGCGCCTCCAGGTACCTCCCCCAAAGCTCCCATTGGCCGCAGTTCCCTGTTCCCGGCCAATGGGAGCTGCGGGGGGGGGGCGGTGCCTGGAAACCAGGGCAACACACGGAGCCCTCTGCTCTCCCGCCCCTCCCCCAGCCGCAGGGACGTGATGCCAGCTGCTTCAGGGAGCAGTGCAGGGCTTGAGGGGGGCAATCCCGCAGGTGTAGTTTGCCCACCCCTGGCCTGGAGGTGGGGGGGGAGGTGCGCATGGGCCACTTGGCGGACTGCAGGAAATAGTCCCGCAGGCCGCGTGTTTGAGACCCCTGGTTTAGAACATCCCAGATATTTACCTAACATCTGAAACCGTATTGAGTAATTAACAGCAGGTTCGCACGGACCAGTTGCTCACCCACCGGGGAGAAAGGGTGTTAGGAAAAAACATTTCTTAAGATGGCTTCCCAAGTACACTCTATTAGCTGATCTTTTATAACTAACTTCTACAAAACACATAGGTCATAAGGACCCCTACTGAATCATCACTTTTCTAACTTTCAATAAACTTTTAATACCAGAGGCGTCTAGACTCAAGGTTTTCCAACCACCAAGGTTTTCAGTCTCAGCTATTTACTTGTCTGTCCCCTCCACCCATTCTGATTTGCTTCTAAAAGCCTGTCTCCAAATTAACCCTTAACTAGGTGGTGGTCTGTTTCATTAATTCAGGGTGGCTGAGTGCACATAATATGGTCGCAATTAGCGTGATCACATTCTGGGGCAGACACACCCCTCAAATCCAGGGCAAGGGTGTGATAGAGCTTTACATTTCAAGCCTACGCTGACAGGCAGTGGAGGCTTCGTGGCGAGAGAGGCATGGAGCCTAATGTAACAGTTATATTATCAAGGGGACCCCCCCCCAAATCCCCCAGATTTGTATGGGATGATGAGCCAATCTGTCACTGATGGGGTAGAGGAAAAAATATTTCCCATTGGTAGATCATTCCCTAGCCCCACCCTTGCACCTTCCTCTGAAGCATCTGGCACTGATCACTCGTGGAGACAGGATGCTGTATTAGTTGGATCATGACTGTGATCCAGACTGGCAATTGCTGTTTTCCTAGACTTCAGGCTCCATACAGGGCCATTTATGACTTCTTTTTTTTTTTTTTTGTAAAAGTATTTAGAGCCCCAGTGGAAAGGCTTTGCTGCTTGAATTCAATGGACTCAGATTATTGAAATGGTTCTTTCTAAAGTCAATAGACACTGAACCTGATATGCATACCTAGGAAATATTGTGTCATATAATGTCTTCATTTTTACCACATGGCCAAGCTAACTGTACGTCTTCACTTTTCAAAAAAGCAAAATCAAATATGCATTCAAGCGACACTATTACCTGTTGATTGTGGTTTTTTCACTAAAGGACTGTGAGTGGATATTTTGGAATACTGTAATAATCTAACATGTACACATTTGTTCTAACACCTCTTTGCCTCTTCCAGCATACCAAGCTACCACAGAACTGCTGTCCACTACTTGTCTTTGTGAATCCCAAAAGTGGAGGTTTGAAAGGCCGAGATCTACTCTACAGTTTTAGAAAACTGCTAAATCCTCATCAGGTCTTTGAACTCACTAATGGAGGTCCACTGCCTGGGTAAATCTTTTATCACAATAGCTCTTTAGTGAATGGAATAGTATCACCAAAATAGTAATTTACCGATACTTGTTAGATCTCTCGCTCTGTCACACACACACACAAAATAGCAAAAGTTTCCTCCAACTCATTTTATTTACCCCTGTATTGCACGTGTGAGAATTACACTGCAGGGCCTCTCTTAGAAATTGTGGTCCTTATTTTAAAAACAAATGGAAAATGTTCACATTTCACAAAGAGGAGAGGACAGAATTGTTTCTGATGTGTCTAGCACAGTAGGGTCCAGATCCTGATGGGAGCATGTGCACATCACCACAATGCAAATAACTACTGGTGGTTAACACAATTGATGGAGAAGGAAGGGAGGAAAGAGAGGGCTTTGAGCAACACGGCTGCCAAGTCGTAATTTTTGCCACTATTTCCAACCATTCTTAACGTCAGGTAATAGAAGGGTGTAATAAGTGTCTCTATTTCTACTCTTGGAATTTGCCTACAGTTGCAGAAATTTAAGAGGACCTGATTATTCAGAAATGGTAACGCCATTTCTAAGACGTGAGAAGAAATGTGATGGGAAAAACAAAAGCAATGTGTTACTGGTTTTTTAAAAACACAGTTTAGTTACCAGTGAGTAATAGTATTGCCTGCTTATTGTAATGGAAAAACGTGTTTTTTAAATCCTACTACGTTATTGTTTATTTTTGTACTACTTAAATTGACTCCAGTGCCTTGAAATAAAACTCTCAAAAGGTTAACTTTATTATTTTACATTCATCCAGTACAAGTGGGTTCAACAGTCCATAACGAAGAAGCAGTAAAAAATAAGCAATACAGGTCTTCTCACTTTGTCAGGACTATGGTTCGTTTAGGCTGGTTCCTACAGCATGACTGTCAGTGTTATGCCCATAGAACCTATTGTTGGCTGCAGTATTTCTCTGTTACTATGGGCAAGACACTTCACCTCTCTGAGCCTCAGTTTTCCACCTGTAAAATGGGAAGAACGATAAACTCCATTGTAAAGTGCCTTGATTGGTAGGGCTGAAAGTGTTGTACGAATGGGATCCTATTCAGAATCTCAGTTTTTACAAATCCAGAGTAGTACAGAAACACCCCCTTCTGGGTTTTTTTCAGTCCCAGCAGTATATGCTAGCGGACAAGGAAATGCACACTGTTTAATAACCAAATACTGCATTCAATGTGAATGACAATGGTGTTGTAAACTTCCATTTAAAACCAGATAGAAATCCCAAGTGACAAACAGAATTACAGATGTGTAAATGAAAACACAAACACATTTTAAAAATGTAGACCTTTTTGTGTCTCTGTCTTGTTAATTCCCTGTGGGAGAGAACTCAACTACCATCTTTGGCTATGGGGAAACATCGTGAGAAATGTAACTTCAAGTTTGTTAGGCAGAAAACTCCTCTGATAGTTCTAAGTTTTATTGTCCATTTTATCAGCTTTTCTTAATCGAAACTCTAAAGCGAGGGAAGGAAAAAGCAATAATGACTAAGAACTCAATTGTGTTACTTTAAAGAGAATATTATGGGAGGCCTAATTAATTTTCTGCATCACAGTGTAATATTATTTCTTATGCTTTTGTTTTTAAATGAAGATTTCATACATTCTCTCAAGTTCCCTATTTCCGAGTGCTGGTGTGCGGTGGTGACGGCACAGTTGGTTGGGTCCTTGGTGCGCTGGAGGAAATCAGACACATGCTCGTCTGTTCAGAGCCCTCTGTAGCCATCTTACCTTTAGGAACAGGTGAGAAATAATAGTATGGAACGGGGTTGATTTGAGGAATGTTAATGGGAAGCTATTAAGCATGCTCAAAAATTAGTAGTTTTTCTTTTCGTGTTGATTTTTCTCATCACATGGCATCCGTGACTGGCTTTGTAGCCTGAATGGCATTTTGTTTTAGTTTCTTATGTTACATTGAAGCAATCGGCGTGCATCCAGGAGGGAAACAATGAAGACCATTTCATCATTATTCTTTGATTCTTCCATCCTGCCCTCAAAAGGCTGCAGCAATCCTCTGTTCAGAACCCATCAGTGATGCTTACGGCATTGGCCAAAGCAGTGGTTCTCAGCCCGCAGTCCGCTTCCGGCCCAATCAGCACACAGCTACGGCCCATATGACATCCTCAGGGCCATACAGGCAGTGTATATATTGTGTGGATGCAGCCCACATAACACACAGAGAGCTACATATGCTGCCCACAATGGTAAATAGGTTGAGAACCACTCGGCCAAAGGGTCACCAGAGAGCCACACAAATGGAAGTGGTATGAACCTAGGAGTGTGGAAGTCCAGATAAACCAGATGTTCTCATTAATTTGTATTCAGGTTTCCAGAAACACACGGGCTGCTGCCTAAGGGCCTGACCAGAGGCAGCAGCACTCCAGTTGCTTTGCAATCCCATTGTAATAGTGGGATCTATTCTCTCTGTAACTGGCTCCTCTTTACTCTGTCTAGCCGCTAGTGGTGAGTGTCAGCCACTCTCTCCTTCTCTTGCTCGCTCCTCCTCTTGCTTGTTCACCTAGGTTAGGGCTCTGTTTTCCTCCCTTCCCATATGCTACAGCCCTCCCTCCAGTAAGTGACCAGTCCCACTCCCTCTTACCCCAGTGACTGCCTAGTTCTCCAGTCCTCCCGCTGTGACAGGGTCGGGCCAGATGGCTACAGGAGAGTGATAGAAGGCAGATATATTAGCCCCAGATTAAGCAGGTCCCTTTTCCCTGGATAAGGTAACGGGCGGTTCCAGAACAATCAGGAACTTGCTGGAACCAATTAAGGCAGGCAGGCTAATTAGGACCCCTGGAGCCAATTAAGAAGCTGCTAGAATCAATTAAGACAGGCAGGCTAATCAGGGCACCTGCTTTAAAAAGGACCTCACTTCAGTCAGTGAGGAGCGTGCAAGGAGCTGAGAGGGTGTGCCGCTGGAGGACTGAGGAGTACAAACGCTATCTGGCATCAGGAGGAAGGTCCTGTGGTGAGGATACAGAAGGTGTTGGGAGGAGGCCATGGGGAAGTAGCCCAGGGAGTTGTAGTTGTCACACAGGTGTTACACGAAACACTGTAGACAGTTGTGATCCACAGGGCCCTGGGCTGGAACCCGGAGTAGAGGGCGGGCCCGGGTTTCCCCCATCCCCCTCCCCTCATTGGATACAAGAGGAGTTGACCTGGACTGTGGGTCCCACCAGAGGGGAAGGTCCCTGGCCTGTCCCCCGACCCACTAGGTGGGTCTACAGAGACTGTGGGGATTGTTCTTCCTTTCCCCCATGCTGGCCAGTGAGCTGAGTGAATGGCAGGTTTGAGCCACTAGCACAAGTGGCCAAACTGAGGGCTGCCGTGAACCTCTGAGGCGAGCAAATCCGCCAATAAGCGCAGGACCCACCAAGGCAGAGGAGGAACTTTGTCACACCGCCCTTATGATTACTGTAGAATTATATCTAAGAAAAGGCCAGAGTGTTTCTCCCCTCCTGTAGAATACACCTGAGAGTTATTCCACATTGATTTAGAGGCTGTCTCACTGACTGAATACGGTTATAGGCAAGATTCTTCTATAGTAAAATTAGACATGAAAACTTTTGTACATCCTTAACGAATTGAAATCTGATTAATTTGATAGAGAATCTGTGATGCCGGAAATGTATTGAGACTAATTAGTTTTTAACGAATTCTCTTGATCACTGTCAGAAGCATTGGTTGGGGGAAAATTCATTAGCATTCATGTAAACTTAAAATGAGAAATTAAGAATCTGAATTGAGAAAAGCAGAATAAACTAATCTTCCCATAGCACTCAGACAACTTATCAGATGCAAGTGATTAACTCTTATTTTCCCCACACTCATTCTGTGGTTTATCAGCTCAGCATGAGTTCACAGGCTTATTAAGAAAAAAAGGAACAAAACTGAGGATCTTCAACCTATTGCATGCAGAAAATAATTAACAACTGAAACGTGGATTAACGGACAGCATGAGGAACTAAAAGGCAGATCTGGTCTCTCTTCACCCATCGGGGGGGAATATTTATCATATAAAGTGACGTGTCCTCTTCACTACCCAACAACTTACTTTTCTTTCTCCGTGTCCTTTATGAATTCACTTTATTTTGTCAAGTTGTTTTATGCCAGTGCCTTGCCAACATGGTCGCTTATTCCGAGTTTGTATCCACATGCAGTCATAAGGAACAATGGTTTCATGTCATGTATTCATAGTATACAGCCAGTATCTCATGGTAATGTATTTATCTAGATGCAGAAAACCTTTCATGAAATGCGTGTGCTTAACTGTGCTAACAAAATACAGTTGGGAACGAAATTCACAAATAGGCGAATCGTGCGTGACAGTATGCTAAATGCCTTGGCCAGGATTCTGCCTGTGACCAGGACGTAGAACATTCTAATGAATTTACTTCACCACTGTGGGGTGGCAACATATTGCTTCCAGATAAGGCATGGCTGTCAACAGCATTAGCTCTTCTGTTTCAGGCAGAGCCTGGCTACCTAGTGTAGCCAACACTTTCTCCATTGTGCAACGGCCAACCGACTGGGTACTTCAGCCTGCTTGCAGCTTGAGGACAGAAACAGACATGAGCTTTGCTGGCAGCTGAGGAGTTCCCCAACTCCACCATTTTCCTTTGCCTTCCTAGTGCCAGGTGCAGGGCTCAACCCCCCCTTCCTGCTACCGAGGTTTTCTTAGAAGAATCCCCCCCTTTTTGTTTCAAAGTTCTGACTAACAGTTGCACATCTAAATGCCAGTCATGGTCCATGGCTGCATTTGCCTTTTGGGGAATTTTTCTCCTCAGCTCGGTCTCTTATGAAGTGCTGCAGCATTTGGTGACCCTGCAGCAGGTACACGGAGAAGGAGTGAGCTGAGAAAGCCAAAGGGGAGGCCTGCGCATCCTCCCTCACTCGCCTTATTGCGTGTCCTATTGGGGAACGTGGCTCTGTCTGTAGACAAACTGGAGTTGTCCCTCTGAGCCCCGTCTGCGTGAGGCCACCTTGGCCGCCTCCTCTAGAGATACCCTTCAGTTTTTACCTAGACTAATGGGTTACCATATTTTTCATGTAATCATATACTATGTCATGCCACTGGCCTTTGTGATGTCCCAGGCTTACCCCCACCTCTGCCCTGCAGGGCTAATGTCAAGCCACGGGACTCTGAGATGCCCTCACCGTAACCAGCTATGCCAGTCCCAGCATTATCCTGTTCTCTTCTCTGGACATCAAATCTTTGGTCACTGTGTTAGATGCTTAGGCATATCAGTTCCCAGCTCTTAGTACTTCAGTGTGAGAATATTTTCAGAAATACAAGGGATAAGGTAGTAATGGAGTCATCAAAACTTATTTATATTCTGGCCCCAGTCTGGTCTGCAAATTGAAGCCATCTCTGAAATTCAGCAGGAGAGAGTACCACTTTGCCAGGGGCCGTACTAAAAGGAATGCCCATATGCTATTATGGAGGTAAGGTTCTCAACTTCCTCAGAGCCAGCTTTTGTTTGAAGTTAGACCCCAAAATTGGTGCCAGGCTCTTTCAGTTTGTAAGCAAATGGCTGCTCTCGGCTTTGTTGCTCTTTGAGGCTTTGCAAGAATCCTCAGGCATACTATTGTCCCATGGAAATGGCTGGACCCATTCGGAACAATGCAACCCATGTAGCGAGAACTTGAGTGGTGTTCCCACTCCTTTTTCTGTCCTCGAAGAAGGGGAGAAAAACAGAGCCGGGTTCTGTCTGAACATCTGACCAAGTTCCTAAAGGAGCCAAAGTTCAAAATGGAGGTTCTCAAGTTCACTCAGACAACCATATACAGATTGTCTTCCATCGACCCATTTACCACCCCACAAACTATTCCCTTGTTATGCACAAGGGTTCCACCTGTTTCAGCTCCAATCAATGCCATTCAGTCAGACCCACGCTCTGAGTCTTTTCCATGGTACTATTAATAACAACTTCAGGGAAGGATGGAGTTCATGCCTATCCTTTCCTAGACAGCTTGCTGATCAGGGCTCTGCATAGAGAGAAGGCATAAACCACACACAGCATTTCCATTTCTAGAGCATCTTGGATTCACGATAGGCATGACACCAGGGAAATCAATCATAGGTTTGGAGGCGAGGCTGGATACCATTAGGTACAAGTCTCATCTGGGAAGAATGTTGGCAGAAGATGAAGATGGCCATAAAGGAAAAGAACAAGTGATGCTTCCAAAAAATAAAAAAAAAAGTCCAATCTCTTCAGGAGCCAATTGAGAATGCTGGTGTCATGCAGAGACGTGCTTCAGTGGGCCTGAGTTCATGTAATTGTTATCCAGCTACTCTTTTAACCCCTCCGCATCTCTCCTTATCGCTGTGATTGGCAGATGTCAAGGTCCTATGGCCTGTTCTTCCATTCCTTCAACAAATGAATGCAGAGAATCAGATTGTTTGAAGGAATCCCTCATGAGTGAACCAGGCAGTGCCACCCTTTTGGTAGACCCTAACCGAAGATAATGGGAGATACATGCAGTTCTGTGCTTTAAAAAGCCCATTGTAGGGGATCTGGAGACACCAGCATGCTAGAAAATAATAGCGTAATTTATCTGAGTTTACTTTAAAATTCCCTTTCTTCAGTTTATAAGGACCATGGCCCCGGCCCATTGTGGAAACAAAGTGGACATCCAGAATACAGATGGAAATTGATATCTAAAGCTTTGGGATTATTTTATCTGGGGAAATTATTCTCATGCACTTCAGTAGGAGAAACTTTTCCTTTTCAAAATATTATCATCCCGACTTCTGATGTAGGAAAATAAGATGGCATTGACGTTGGTGTGGAAGTTGTCTCAAGCAGTAGAAACTGCAGAGGGAGGTGTATGCTCCTCTTTCAGTGGAGGACTGGCCTGCTTCTGCTCACAAGCAGTCTGAAATTTAACAGTTCGGTGCACCCTTTATGACAGATCTCCCGACCTTATTACTGTGAGAGGAAATTTTCAGGTGATGATGTATAAATATTCCTATTTTGTGTGTGTCTCTTACATAAAGCAGTACATGATCTATTTAATAATTTACTTACAGAACAGCAAAGACAACATTTACTTACAGGCTTTTCATGTACGCTAAGGTTACATTTTCAGTTCAGTTTTACTGCTGGGAAGTTGTGATCACTGTCTGACTAGTACCCTTGTGGTTGGAGCTATTACAAGGTATTTATCTTTCACACTGTCAGTTGGTTGATTAAACAAGTTAACAGTTTGCTTTTTCCTTGTCCAGGTAACGATTTAGGGAGGGTGCTTCGCTGGGGAGCTGGCTATAGTGGGGAAGATCCCTACTCTATTCTGATATCTATAGATGAAGCTGATGATGTACTTATGGATCGCTGGACCATCCTTTTAGATGCTCAGGAGGCTGTTGAAAGTGCAGAGAATGGTATTTTGGAACCTGATCCTCCAAAGGTATGTCACTGTTTTGTTTTCTAAAAGCTATTGGTTTATTCCAGGATGAATGAGATTATAGTGTACCATAGCTGCTTGCGATTTGTCTTTTATTTCAACACACCTTTGGGTGTTACTGTAATAATTCTATATGACTTAGCCCTGGTCTACACTGGGTGGGGGGGGAATCAATCTAAGATATGCAACTTCAGCGACGAGACTAGCGTAGCTGAAGTCGGCGCATCTTAGATCGACTTACCTCGCGTCCTCACGGTGCAGGGTCGACTGCCACCGCTCCCCCGTCAACTCTGCTTCGCCTCTCGGCGGTGGTGGAGTTCCGGAGTCGTCTACACTAGACACGATAAATCGATCCCCGATAGATCAATTACTAACTGCAAATCTGGCGGGTAGTGAAGTTCTGCCCTTAGCTCAGTCACTAAACCCGTGTGTGCGGAAAGGTAAACCCGACGTGCTTCTTTGAGTACAGTTCTAAAACGCTTGAAGTCGGAGATTAGTTACACAATATATTCTTTATGGACACTTAAGATATTAATTATTTCTCGGGCACAAAGCATGTTTGACTGATTAACAGTAGTCGTGTCTGCTTTCTGAGGTTGGGAAGGAATGGGTTCCCAGCTCAGGCGAGAATAGGTTCTGCTGAGAGGACGATCAAAGCTACATTTCAGATCCCTATAATGGAACTGGAATCCTCACACTTTGTTAAACAATCCAGAAAGTTGGTTGTTAAAGTTCTGCTAGACATCACTGAGGTTCGGTTCGGTAAAACTTTAATTGAACAATCTACCGTATCTCTTTCCCTGTTTGCGTATGGTGTCTTTTAAGTGAAAATCTTGCTTGACAGGCTCTCGTGACATCAGATCTCTTTGTTTGGGACAGGGAGAATGTCGTTTGCAGATGTAACCCTGGGATTTGTTGTTTAAAGTCTGGTTCTGTTTTAAGACAAAACAAGGCACAAGATAAAGGAGAAAAAGAGAAGAATAGCAGACAATTACAAAAAAATGGAGCTTCTGTCTTTGCAGTTCAGTTGCTGGAACACCCCAGGCTCAGTACATGGCTTGTGACTTTATTAGCCACTCAGGGATCTGCCTCATTTTTAAGCAGAATCAGGCGGTGAAGTCATTGTGGTTCGCTTACCACTTGTTCATAACAGTGCGTTGCAAGGGTAGATTTGTCCTGGCTGTCTCAATTGTCTAAAGATGGAAGGCAGAGAGAGAGAGAATGTGTATGTGCCAGGAGGAAAAATGCTGTGGTTGAAACTGACACGCTGGGGAGGATTTAATAATAGAAACATTAGGTTCGCACCACAGGAGTTGCTCAGGACACAGATGTGAAAATGTTGGTGTTCTCTGGTTCCGTCTTCTGGTCTGGTGTGTTTAGATTATCTTTCCGGATAAAGAAACGAAGGCCGCATGATGTGATGGTAAATCCACAGGTGATACTGTTTAATGCTTCCTTCCACGCACAGACAAGTTGCCAAGTTCTCCCCTATAGTGACACCATGAAGGGAAATATGAAAAAAACGAATGTCTTTGGAAATTGGTTTAATCTGGGACAACGAAAACTACAATTTGTCAGTCACCGTCATATGGTTATTAAATGGTAGCACTTGGTGAAGCGAAGATTGTTTAGGTACTGTAACTCTGCAGTTCGATGCTTTACCATATTTGGATTTCTTTTAAATATAACCTTATTAATTGCAAATGTCCTGGGTTTGGAATGCTTGGTTTAGGGATAATTACAATATCCTTGCAGTGTTTTCCACCTAGAAGTTACTGATAAATACTCTCATATCTTCATTTTAATGTTGTGTTTTGTACTGGGGCTATCTGTGAGAGAAAATGTACTCCTAAATTGCTTTGTGTGCAGTGACTTCAAAAATCTACAAATGTCCATTTCACTGAAAATTTTCAATACCAATACGGGACCCTCTGCTGCGTACATTTGAGTCTCAATGGTATACCATAGTATACTGCTATTTTTGTTTTGTTTTGCAGATTGTACAAATGAACAACTATTGTGGCCTTGGAATTGATGCAGAATTGAGCTTGGGCTTTCACCATGCTAGAGAAGAAGAACCAGGCAAATTTAATAGCAGGTAATCTCAGGAAAAACCTTTGCGGACTGAATGTTCATAGTATCACATATGCAGGGTCTGTGTATGATATAACAACTCTACAGGCATTCACAAATAGTGCTGTGTGATATAGTGCATACACCCCACACGCCAGGAAAGAGTTAATGGCCTGCCTTTTTGGGCGGGTGAAACAGCCCTGCCTGAAGCAAGTTTGAGGCTTTGAGGGAAGTGCTAAAAAGGGAGAGCCCAGCTCGGGTGGACCCTGGCAGGAGGCAGAGCAGATCTGCAGCTTTCACTGCAGGAGAGCAGGCTGCCTGGGGCCAGGAACCAAGACAGACTGTGGAAAGCTAGGCCTGGCAGGAGCCGGTTGCCTTCTTTGGCTGCCAGCAACTGACTTAGGCTTGCATGAGCCCTGGCGAGTTTGGAAGTGTGCACTTTCCTGGGATTTTTGCCGCCTCAAGCAAAAAAAAATTTGGCTGCCCCCCCCCCCTTTTTTTGTGGCCCCCTGCCCCTGGTCCTGCCCCAACTCCACCCCTTCCAAACCCCTTCCCCAAATCCCCAGCCCCGTCTCCTCCCCGGGGCGTGCCGCATTCCCCACCCCCATTGCTTCCTGCGGGCCCCCTCCCCCCCTCATGACCTCCTGCCCTAGCTCACCTCTGCTCTGCCTGCTCCCCCGGGCGCACCGCTGCTCCGCTTCTCCCCCCTCCCTCTCAGGTGAGGGGGGGGGAGAAGCGGAGCAGCAGCGCGTTCAGGGGAGCAGGCAGAGCGGAGGTGAGCTAGGGAGGGGGGCGCAGGAAGTAACGGGGGGTAGAGGAACCGCTCCCCGCTCCGGCTCACCTCCACTCCACCACCGCCGCCTCCCCTGAGCGCCCTCCCACTTGGCTTCTCCTCCCTTCCTCCCTCCCAGCCTTGCTGCGCGAAAAAGCCTGGGAGAAGCGGAGCAGCGGCACGGTCAGGGGAGCAGGTGGAGCTGAGATGAGCTAGGATGGGGGTGCAGGAAGTAACGGGGGGGTAGAGGAACCGCTCCCCGCTCCAGCTCACCTCCGCTCCACCGCCGCCGCCTCCCCTGAGTGCCCGTCGCTCGGTTTCTCCTCCCTCCCAGCCTTGCTGTGGGAAACAGCTGTTTTGCGCCCGGCAAGCCTGGGAGGGAGGGGGGAGAAGCGGCAGCGACGCGTTCAGGGGAGCAGGTGGAGGTGTAGTGGAGACGAGCTGGGGCGGCAAGCTGGGGTGGCGGGGGCACTTTTTCCCCATGCCCCGGAGTCGGTGCCTATGATGGCCGGCGCCAGAATGCCGTTGCTAGAAATGTGCCGCCCCAAGCACCTGCTTGTTTTGCTGGTGCCTGGAGCCGGCCCTGGACACTGCCGAGCCCAGCAGGGCTGACGAGTGTGGTGAGGATTGAGCCCAGCAGGGACAGAAGAGTTTACATTTCTTTGTTTGTTCTGGATTTGGGGAGCCCCAGAAGGGGTGGACCTTGTCAGAGGGCTAAGTCACCTCAACTGGGAATGCGCCAGAGGCAGGGGGGATCAGCTGGAGACCCGGAGGACAGAGGCAGAACCACTGCCCCACCCCCATAAGGGGGCATGCAGGGAGGGTACTCGGTCACATGGTGCTTCCAAAAATGGAAAACAAAACATCAGGTTACAGTCATAGCCATGTGACGAGTGTTAGTCTGCCAGATTTTTACAGTAAATAGCACGCTAGAGGCAATCAGAAGTACAATGTTTGGGAAGCACTTGGTCATGGTTTCGAAATTTACTTCTTTTCCAATAACTTTGATATTAAAATCGCTGATCTAGGATATATGGCAGCTGGTGGCATTTGTACAAGTATGTACAGTGGTATAAAGCAGGGAAAAATTCACATTACAAATACTCAGTGTCCAGAATTTTCTTTGTACAACTTTGTACTGGAGTGTGTGTGTGTATTTATGAGCTCCCATGGATGTCTTTATTTATTACAATTTATTTCAATGGATTTATTTATTTAATACAATCTGTTTGATCATAAACACCAAAAACAAACAAAACCCGCACAAAACCCTCCTCTAAGAGCACCAAGAACAAGAAATAGCCTCTGTATGTAATTAGTGAATTCAACAATTCTTCAACATCACTTTCAGTAAGCGCAATCCACCACTGTTTTATATCCATCTTTGATTGTGCTTGAAAGAGCCTTTGATTTGTCTTTATGATACCAGCACAAACAGTCGTCATCATGGATTAAGTAAACCCTCATTATTTATATTCAGAAATACTGCAACCAATTATCAATATTATAAAACATTATCCAGTTCTCTCCCCATTACAGTTTGATATCAGTATACTCAAGCAGTATATTTTTCTCAAGAGTTAGGATAATGAAAATCTACTGTTCATGCTCATATACATTACAAAGTACATGGGGAAAATAGCACTTTACACTGTGTGTACTGCGTAAGAGTAATACATTCAAGAACTATATTACTTGCCAAAAAAAATTAAATCTTCTCCAACCCTCTGGATTGAGAACAGAAAATAACAGGTATTGACTATAAAGTGTAATTATAACAGTGCACAGAGAAAATAATTTTAGCCTTATGTGTGTAATTAATACAATGTAAAGTTACACAGACACATGTATTTAGATAGTTCATACAAAACCAACTACATTAAAAGAACAGCAAGATCGTAAAGTGAAGTACTCAAAAGTCAGGAAATGATGCAACCTTAACTTCTTTCTTTGTACCTAAGCAGCACGATACTCGACGACAGTATTTTTTCCATGGGCTCCCTGTCTCAACGAGTGCAGAAATAAAATATATGGAGATATACCCCAAAAGGTCATCAAGTCCAGCCCCCTGCCTTCACTAGCAGGACCAAGTACTGATTTTTTCCCCAGATCCCTAATTGGCCCCCTCAAGGATTGAACTCACAACCCTGGGTTTAGCATGCCAATGCTGAAACCACTGAGCTATCAGAAGATGAACAGTACTCTGTGGAGGGAGGCAGTGGTTCAGTTTGTCTGACATGAGTTATTGTGTATGTGTTTGAAGATGTTGTTCAGTACATCAGTGCGGGATGAGGGGGCCCCAAGGGTAGAGAAGAAAGGGAAATTCTTCCTAATTGATGATACAAGGCAAACGTGAATTGTTATAATCTTAAATAAAATTCACATGTTGTATATACCATGCTGTACTTACCGCTTGGTTAAATTTGTTGCTGAATGTTACTTCTCATTACAGTTAATTGATAAATGTAGGTATACCAATCCAACTTTTTAAAATGAAACCTTAAATCAGTCAAAAAACCCACTGCATGCATATACTCTGCAGAGATATATTCTGGTGAGGATTTTGCACTATTTTGTATTCAGAAACAAAATATCTATGATGCTCGTATCTGGAGTTTAAAATATGTGTACAACTTCCCAGGGCATTTTAACTTCAGCAGTGCGTGTTCAATACAGAGCCATATGATAAAGTAAATCTGGGCCAAACTATCAGATGAGAAAGCTCTAGTTTGAAAATCCAAGATGCTTTTAGCTACTATTGAATAAGTGTGTGATCCCACAACAGACAGCAATTCAGGAAAGCATCTCTATTCAGGACAGCACTAAGTGCATGCCTAAAATTAAACGTGGGTTTATGCACTGGCCTGAATCAAGGCATTAGACTTGAAAATACTCTGAAGCACATGTGTGTCTATGGAGTGTCTTTCTGCCAGGCTTTCTCTTCTATTGTCCTTCCTAATACAATGCTGCATTCTGTATGGAATTTGGGTCTTGGTCTTACTTCCCAGGCCAGGTAAAATATAGTGCTTGGTTTTGGGGGTAGGGTTAAAGTATCTTCTCACAGAATTTCAAAGCTTTTTTTGTCCCTCACATGCATTATGTGTATATTGACTTACACTTTAGGTTATTTTGAAAGGTCAAACTCCTAAGTAAAGGAGCAACCCTGGTGTCTTACATGTCATATATTTCTCTTTGATGTTTAATGATAGATATTTTTGGTCATATTCGGTGTGGCTACTTGTACAGATGGTCTTGACTGTTGTACTTAAGTTTGCTTGCTGACATGCAGTAATACATTTTGAACATCTTTATTTTATTTATTTTTTTGGAAAATCATGCTTGTTTTTGCGTGGCATGGAGTATTGCAGTATCTTTCTAGTGACATAATTAGTCAGCAGAGTTTATAGTGTAAGGAGTATAATCATAATGACATTCTAAATAGCTTTTGTGTATCTTGAGGCCGTGTTTTTCCTCCTCATATAGCTAAAAGCACATAGCAGTTCATATGCAATGTTCTAAGGAAAGACAGGAATAGGCTTCAAGTGTTTTTGCTGTAGGCATACTGAATTAACATTCGGAGCAGCTGCTAATGTCTCATTTATTAATTTGCTTTAGATGAAATGTAGCCACATGTACATTTACAATTCCGTCTCTTCTGGTGATTTTTATCATGCTGCACCAAATTACAAATGTCTAGTAATGGGTGACACTATAGGGGCTTCTAGTGTCATGTGTTTAAGAGTTGTACATGAGAGGAGAAAGGACAAATTCCCAAACAGAATGAGATTTGTGTGTAAACAGAATGAGATTGGCCGCTTCTTTGGAGATCTGTTTGGAAAACTGATTTTCCATCCCACAAAAATCTTTTATTTGTCCCCAGAAATGTCAAATTTGTTTGCAAAACAAACTTTTGAAGAAAAAAATCATCTCATGTCAACTGAAATGTCATTTAGATTTCGGGGTTTTTTTATGTTAATTGGTTTTTATGCAAAATAAATTTCAAAATGAAAAGTCCTTTTGAGATGAAAAATTGAAACTTTTCATTCCAAAAATGTCCTGTTTTGACATCTTCGAAAATTTGGTTGAAATAGATACGTTTCAATGAAAAATTTGGATTTTGTTGAAATGGCATTTTCTGACGGAAAACTGAGTTGTGATCTTCTCCACTCAGCAGAAGTACTTGATTGTTGCTGCCTTTCAGAAATAAATAGATTTGTCACAAATCACCTTAAGATTGTTGTTAATGGGTATATGACTAATCAAGGAGATGATAAAGCCAAAATTAATTTGTTTTATACGCCTGCCCGTAGGCGCAGCTGCCCATGCTAATTGTAATTGTTTGTTTAGTACGTGTAATGCACTCCCCAGGGAGCTGTGAACCATAAACCACTGTGTTACCTCACCAAGGGAGAACTTTGCCCTGGCTTAAACTGACACACCAGTTTTGGTAGCCTCACCAGTCAACAACCTGAGACTCTGCCAGTCTTAACCTTGCCTTTCAGGTAACATCCGGTGCTCCCAAGGTCCCCAGAGACGTCTCTGCAGTGTCCAGTCCCTCTCACTGGCAAACACAGAATTTATTAAGTCTGCTGTCTCCAAAGAGACAGAGTGTACACCAGCCTGTTGGCTCCCTGAGGATATGATCTTTACCTTTATACACAGCACGGAGATGGTTTTATAGTAAAAACAAGTTTATTAATAATGAACATAGATTTAAGTGGCACTAAGCAAGAGAAAAAGAGACCGGTATGGGTACAAATAAAACAAAAGTGAAAACACGCTTTCTAGTGTCTACAACTTAACAGTTCACAGTCCTGGTCTCAGGCAATTTCTCACCTACAATCAGTTCCCAGAGTCTTCGACCCACACTGTTGAAGGATCCACCTTTCACAGATTCCAAGAGTTCTGGCCTCTTTTGTTCCTTAAGTGATGGATACATAAGGGGTTCTCTCCCCTTCTTTTTATAGTCTAGTAAACCTTTGAAATGTGTGTCCCCAGATAAAGTTCTTCTCCCCTGCTGTGTTTTTCTTCCTGGTCACTTCCCAGCCCCCCTGTTGATTTGTATGTCAATGTAACTTTCATTGTCTCGGGCATCTCCGTGCTCAGTTTACTTTGGAGACACAGGCAAACCAACGTTCCTTTTTCTAAGGCAAACTTGTTTGTCAAGTCTGCCCCCAAAACATATTTTAGTAAAGTATTCCCAGCACGCGCACACAACTCTTTACATGCCATCTGTACATACATCACGCAGTGATAGTATTGACCCACGGGTTACCAGTTTTTACATGATACTTAGCAAGACACGGTGTTTGGCTAAATATTCTGACCAGGGTGTGCCCTTTAACAGTTGGCATAAAGGGGCTTTGGGGGTCACAGACTCATTACGACAGTCACCATGGTAACAAGCTAAGGACTTAAATGTGTGGGGAAGGTTATCAACTACTCCATTATTGATTGAGCTTCCCTGTTCATGAACTGTAAGTCCCTGCACCTGGTCTGTCACCTTGGACCATTTTTTTAAAAAGTAGTGTTTGTGGCCACCCCCACGTCAAGCTGCAGTTGTTCTGTTTACTGATCCTGAGGTACAGTGCTGTGCACGCTGCTCGAATGTGGTCGCTCTGCTCCTCCCTGTGGAATTCTGCTGTAGAATCCAGCTTTCACTTTAAAATACAGTGTTTCTAGCCCTCCTTCTTGTGACGAGAACCTGGAAAATGTGAACCGATGCATGAGGTCTTCCTGAGTCTGCAGGAAGCACGACATAAGTCACAGGTGTTACCTGCCTAGCTCACCAGGGCCTTGCTGGACACAGCTATTCCATGGCATTTTTTCCTAGAAAGACTTTAGGGGCAGGGATTTACCCACTGAGGCAGCCAGATGCCTCAGGTTTTATTTTCTGTGTACGAGTCCCATGGAGTGTGCCTATGGGGGTGCCTAAAGTTCACCTCTCCTAGCTAAGGTATTAAAACACAACTTTGCCCTGTCTACCTTAAGGTACTTTATAACATGTTACTTACTGCATTTACCAAGCCACCTTTAAGACTTGTCTAGACTAGCGAAAAGCATTTTCTCTGTGATATTTGCATGGCATGGTAAATCTGTTAAACCTTCCTAAATAAATAAATAGTTAGCTAATGGGCGGGGGGGAGGGGTTACATGTTTTAATTAAGTGCTATTTAAAATATGTTAGCACACCTTACCCAGCTAACATTTTTAAAGGTGCTAAATGCTGTCTGCCCGAGGAGCTGATGTAATCCCTGCTAATGTAGTGTGGTTCTTTGAACCTATTTAGTGATTAGAGTACCACAGGGGTTTGGTCACTATTACTTGTCCACTATTACTGTCTGCAACAGGGGTCGGCAACCTTTCAGAAGTGGTGTGACGAGTCTAACATTTATTCACTCTAATTTAAGGTTTCACGTGCCAGTAATACATTTTAACGTTTTTAGAAGGTCTCTTTCTATAAGTCTATAAGATATAACTAAACGATTGTTGTATGTAAAGTAAATAAGGTTTTTAAAATGTTTAAGAAGCTTCATTTAACATTAAATTAAAATGCAGATCCCCCCAGACCGGTGGCCAGGACCCGGGCAGTGTGAGTGCCACTGAAAATCAGCTCGCGTGCCGCCTTCGACACGTGTGCCATAGGTTGCCTACCCCTGGTCTGCAGGCTAGTGGATCTGATCTTTTAGCTCACACAGTAGAGATTCGTGCTTTTAGATCTAGAGATGCCAGCTTCTCTCCCTGCAGATGACTTATCCATAGGTGTCATTTTACTAACCTGATTTTAAACAGCACTTAATGAAAATGTATTAGCTAAAATAACATTTAAAAATATTGTAAACAATGGGTTAACCTTTTCCTCCGTTTTCTTCTCTGTAAAATTGGAACACTTGCAAGTAGCTACATCACAGAATGGCTGAGGGTTATCAGTATAATAAGTATTTAGAAATTTTTCTCACTACAGCTTGGGCAGTTTATATTTTCAAATGACTTATTTAGCTCTCTGTTTATTCAGACTCTGGATGGGTTATGGGCACAGTGCCCATTTTAATTATTCTGTGTTTTCACACTCCATTTTCAAAGTAGTGGATTTTGATTAAAATAAAATTATTTTCAAGCAGAAAGCCTTCTGAAAGGCAGTTCTGAATCTTTACTTGTATATATTTCCATGTGTTCTATGCCTAATGCCTAAGTTGTCTTTCTCTCTATTCATTAAAGTGGATATGAAGTAACAGTTTATCACCTGAAATAGCTCGATTTGTTGATTAAAACTAGAAGACTTAAGTGTGATTTTAGCTAAAGGAAACTTTAAATGAACGTGTTCCAAAATTAGAAGAAAAGTGTTAGCTTAAATGAGCATAATTCAAACAGTGCCTCAATATAGTGTCAAACCTTGCAGTGACAGAATGCTATTCTGTTCATAGGTTTCACAACAAAGGAGTCTATGTAAAAGTTGGACTGCAGAGGATAAATCACACCAGAAACCTTCACAAAGAGATAAAACTTCAAGTGGACCAGCATGAAGTTGAGTTACCAAGTATCGAGGGACTCATTTTCATTAATATCCCCAGGTAAAAATGTGAGAAATGAGTCTCTGTCTGTACACACCAAACACCCTGTTGTACTCACCAAAATCTCTGTGGTCAATAGGACTAGATGGAAGGGGTGTTCTTTACTTTTTTTGGCGGGGATTTTCAAAAGTGCTTAAAGGAGCTAGCTGCTCAACTGTTACGAGATTTGGACAGAACTCGCTTCAGTTCTTCTGAAAGTCCTGGCCTGAGTTCATAGAAACTAACCCTCGTTTTTCTAGTGTAATGAGAACCGCTTTGCTATCTCTGCTCTTCTTTCATATTTCATTAGTTCTTATTTCATTTATTTCTAGTAACTTTTACCCACTCCCCGTAGATTGCATGCAGGCTTTCTTTTTGTTTGCACAAATGTATAATAGTTACTGAAAAGGCTGCCATAGTATTTAACTGTAGCAACTATCTTAAAAGGTGCTTTTAATTAGGGTTCTCCATTAAGAGAAATTAACCAGCTGTACCTTTTGTTCTAATTTAGGGCATGGCTTCAAGAATTACAGATTTTTTCTCTTTTTAAATCTATTTTTTTTTATTCTTGAGAAAACTAGAAAAGGGGAAAAAATCATATCCAGTGTTTAGCGGTAGCTGTGCATTGGAGAGGCAAACATACTAATCTTACTGGAAATGCAAGTATTTTCTAGGAAGTAAAATTATATTAATTTCCCACTGGCAGAATTTCAGTGGAATGATTTGAAGTGCTTAATTCTACAAAGCTATTTGATGCCTAAATGTAATAATTTGATACAGCAGTTTCTCAGTATTTAGCTTCCCTCCAATATATCGTGTCTTCCGAAAGAAAAAATGTATTGATATTACCAAGAACTGTGGTAATCTTCTGAGTAGTAATCATAAAAGTTAAGGCTTCACAGATTTAACCTGTGGTTTCCAGCAACCCAAAATAGTATGAAACTGTTTCCCTCTTATCTACTTTTCCCCAACTGAAAACCTGCTTAGGCCTTCCTCACTGCTTCCACCTCCTCCCTCTCCCACCCCCGAGCAGTGTTATCAAGAGTTTACCAAATTTTAGGAAGGCAAATATCATGTTTTGTAAAGTGGAAAAGGAGAAATACATAACCCCACTCAAGGAGAATCTGTGGAAGAGCAGAATGGCTTCCTAAATTGTTAACAGATCAGATATTTTGATGCTGCTCGAGTATTGTCAGATGCCAACATACTCTCAGCGGCCATGTTTGTGTGCTCTGCTCCAGTTGGGGGTCTGGAGCTGATCTCTGGGGATCTGACCACGATAATCGATTTGAGAAACCAAGAATCGATGATGGCTTACTGGAAGTCGTGGGGGTGACCGGTGTTGTGCACATGGTAAGTCAGTGCTGTGCCCGCTTTTTGTTTGTTTGGGGGTACTGAGCAAGTGAGAACAGCCACTACTCACTTAACCCGTGGTAAACATCTCTGTGAATTTGCCCCGCGGTAAGTATTTTGCTCACAACACCTTCAAAAAATAGGTTTAGGTTGTAAAATGAAGCACTCAAAAGTCAGAATACAAATTCCAAGAACCTTAAGAATACAAAATATATTAGTCAAGTTAGGCTATAAAAGTAGTCGGCTGTCATGCTGTGGGGCATTGGCTGTGACGGCAGTTGGAGAGTGGGTTTAGACAGCTTTTGAAGCCTGCTCTGGAAATCCTTGTTCTGGTGCGCAAATTCAGCACTATATAGAAGGAAGCTGGAGCTGGATGGTAAAAAGTTTTAGAGGCATTGAGGGGTCTGCTGTACCACTTGTTCAAGTAAATGGAAATGCTCCCAGTGATTTCAGAGGGCTTTGAATCAAGCCCTGAAAGACGTCCATATAAAGAATGGGACTGTTTAATTTAGAGAGATGTTAGCTGCACAAAACAATGAGAGGTATAGATTAGGTCAGTCGGGTGCGTTTGTTTACCCTCTTTCAAAATAGAAGTGGATGGTGAATGAAATTTCAAAGGCTGATAACTTAAAAAAAAATGAAATTAGAACGGGTAGAGATGGCTTCATTTTTGCTTCCTGGGTTGCTTTATTAGGCTGTGGATAATTGGTACTGCACCTATTGTTCCAGCTTAACAATTTGAAACTCATTTATTGGAGGTTTGCTTTTACATCCCTTTCTTCCAAACTTGTTACGTGTATGTAATGTGGTGGAAGCCACTTGTAATCTTATTCCACATTGTTCATAAGCTTCTCAATAAAATTAAAAGGCAAAAAATGATAAAAGGAATTACTAACATAATGCATTAAATAACCTGCGGCATTTATTACCTTAAGATAGCAAAATCCTATGATGTCAGAGCACTTAGCAGGATGAAAAACTAGACTTTATTTGAATTTATGATAATATGTTTTTGATTCTGTATAAGATTTTTAAAATTTGTTATTTTTAAAGTAATTTAAAATCTCAATATTTTCTACGGGTCTTTTAGGTGTCTTTTGTAACAAAATAAAAATATTGGTGAACAAATCCTGATAAATGTTGTATGCCGAGGATAACAATTACTTGGACTCCTTTATAAATCTAGACCCCAATCCTACAAACAAGTTTGCAGCAGCAGGGAGCTCCTTTGAGTTCAGTGGAGCTCAGCCGAAGTTGAGGTCTGTTGGCTTGGAGCCACTTTCCGGATCAGGGCCTTACTGCGGCATGGGGTTAACACGGGTGTTACTTTTTAAAATGTCAGGTCATCATTTTGGAATCTTCTAGGGGGTAGAAAGCTCAGACAGGAAAAGGCCAGGATGTACTCCAGCGCTGCAAAAGTCTTAAGCAACAGCATGATCTGCACCTGTCCTTGCTTTTCTAAGGCTTATTTGTACCAATACATACTAGAGAGTTTTAGAAAATAATGGCAGTTCTGATATTCTGATAGGGCCAAGTACAGAGCGGTCTGCGATCAGGGATCCGCATAGCCCAAGGAGCTTACTTCCGTGTGACGCTTCTGAAACCAACGCCCGTTCAAGTAGATGGGGAACCCTGGATCCAGCCGCCAGGCCAGATGATCATTTCGGTTGCAGGACCGAAGGTAAGCTTGCCTCGGCCGTTGGCTTTTTTGCATTAGAAAAATGTAAATGGTTGTCGTTACAGTTTTCTCCTGTTTGGTTTTGTTCCGTAGTCTAAGTCGTGCCATTTGTTTGACTCGTCTCCTGCTATTTGTCTGGCTCCTCATCCTCTTAGCGCATTTCATTTTTAAGGTGCTAATCAGCATAATGTGAGCACTGTTGGGTGAATATACACTACGGAATCTACACCATGAAATTCAAAGACGTTCACATACATTAGTTAAAGGGCCTGTCTTCACCAGCAAAACTACAGTATCGAGGGATCATGTTTAAGAAAACAGCCCCCTGGGGGTTTTGTAATGTGGCTTAGCCTCGCATGAGACAGCAGTGAGCCATGTTCTAATTACGTTGTTTGCGTTGCAGAAGACCAGGGTTATGCAGACAATCCAGGAACATGGTGTATGAGGGACAGTGCACTCCCTGTTCAGGGGTCAAGGAATCCACTAGCAAGAAAGTGGAGAAATGAGACGTATGAGCAATGGGAGGGGAAGCAGAGGAGGGGTTGGAGGGATTGAGAGTAAAGTTTCTCCCATCCAAGGAGTTAAAGTTTCTGCTGACAATGAAGCAGCCAAATGATTTTTTTGCACTGTCAGTGCATTTGATGACTCCCACACACACAAGTTCCTTGAATGACCCCTTTAAGAACGACTGCAGAAATCTGTTGCTACAGAAAGAGTTCCAGAAATCTCATCGAATGCCAAGCTTTTGTCGTGAGAAAAAAAGAGGAGTTTGCAGAATGTGCCTCTATTATTTGAAAAGTATTTGTGGCTATGCGGAGCTCTTCTTCAGGTTAAAAAAGAGCTCTGCATAGCTCGAAAGCATCTCTCTCTCTCACCAACAGGAGTTGCTCCAATAAAAGATATTACCTCACCCGCCTTGTCTCTTTCAAAGTATTAACCTTTTTGTAAAGAGGGCCAGTGTATAAAAACTTTTCCCTTCTTGCACGAGAGCGAAAGAGACACACATTTTGCAATTTGGAGTCACTGTACAGAAACCGCTCTTAAATGCGCAAAGTAAGCAAACCAGAAATTAGGCTTTTCTTGACTCTGCTAGTCATCTTGGGTGATATAATTATAAGAGGTTAAAAAAGGACAAGTGAGAGTTAAGTTAATAGTATCTCTATTAACTTGCTTTTCTGTTGCAGCATTAATGTATATTTTATTCATTACTAAGCATAGCTTTCTTAAATTTGCTTGAGTAAAGAGATGTTTTGTTGCTCTCGTTAACCGTCTCTACAAATGTTTTCTTTAAGGTCCACATGTTGAAAAAATCCAAACAGAAGCAGAAAAAAACTGGAAGCTTGAAAGAGACAAGAACAGATAATGTATCAATCACTGAAGTGGGACATTGAACTGAGCGGACCTTTACAGAACAAAGGCAGCCCAGCTACTGTAGATGAAAGGAGCCTGCCCTGTACCGCTTTGTGCAGGGGTTTGGTAAAGAAGGGTTCCGAATGAGCCTGCCCTTTAGTCCATTGTAGTAGTACTGTGTTCTGCTTGGTTTGTTAAATGATTGTGCCTCATTAGGTGGCTGACGCACACCTACTCATATACCACTAATTTCATTCGAAATGTTTGCCTTTGGTAGCCTTCCCTAAACCATTGCCCAGTTTTTGGTTTGTACCAGTAGATAACACAGCTCTACCCTATGGAGCTCTTCACACTTGGTTTTGCAACATTTTCATTTTGTTAAGAAATTTCTAGCCTTTTTGTTACATAATCTTCCATAGACAAATCATCGCAAGGTTCTGTTAAACTAACCCTGAACAACAGTCTTCCAACAAACAGAACTGTAGTAGTTGCATCTCTTTGCTGTTGTGCTGTGACCTTCTTGGGCAAGGCCAAACACCACAATTTGAGGCGTCGCTGTTTGAGACCATGTTACTCGAGATGAATAACCGTAATGATAATGATCCCAACGTGAAGAGCGCTGTGTACAGAGGAGAAAAACGGCGCTGAAACACTCAAGTCAAAATGGCTAAGACAGTATCGTTTCAAGGTGGTTTACTTGGACAAAGTGGATGGGGACAAAAATATGTTTTAAACAGTTATGAAATGGTCTAGCCTCTTCCAGTCATCAAACAGTTCAGAAGCTATCTCTTGAGTAAATGGAGGCAAAGTTTACCTCAGTAATATATGTAGACAACAAACTTCTTGGGCTCTTATTTTTCTCCCCTGCTGGGTGTTCTACCTTTGGTGACTCCATACTCCTCCACAAGTCCTCATCTGTCTTGTTTCAAATTAATTTTCTAAAAAAAAAGCCCTATGTGTAAATGTATTTTGACTATGACTTTCCATACAAGCTCCAGAGAGTAGAAGAATGGGTACTAATTCTGGCAAAAAGCTGCTGAAAACGACTATTTCATTGACTATCAGTTCACTAAGGCTGCCTCTCTACAAGGGGTGCGATTCCCCGCCTACGCTAGCTCGATGAAAGCTAGCGTGAGTATACGTAGTAGTGGAGGCGTGTCTAAACTTTACCCCGTACAAACCAGCCTGAAATCGGCGGGCACATGCTCGGCACAGCTAAGCTACGTCTCTGCTGCCTGTGCTGCCATGGTTACACTACTATTTGTATCTGCACTGGCTCTCATTGAGCTACCGTGAGATGTGTACGCGAGCAGCGGATTCACGCCCCTGGCTTGGAGTGTAGACATAGCCCACGCTATGTGAACCTAGAGGCAGGCTAACATTAAATGGAACTACACAATAGTTTAATTCCTTGAGTTTTTTCTGAGGCATAGTGTGTGTTCAGTAAGACTGTATGTCTGGCAACATGTATGTCGTGTGCTGTAGAAAATGCTGTGGCTTCAGATGACCGAGTATTTAGCAATAAAGTAACGAACGGCCAAACAGCATTCCCGCAACTGTTTAGCCACGGTTCTTTCTTGCAGGCTGCCAATGTAGCGTAGCATTTGGGGCATGGAGAAGGGGTGTAGGCCCAGATTCTCAACACTATTTAGGCACCTAACTCGCATTGATTTCATTGGAAGAGGAGCCTGAATACATTTGAGGATCTGGGCCATAGTGATTGTACTGTAATGTAGCTGGACCAGTGTATGTTGTAAGCCCAGGCTAGGGCATGACCATCCTCCCAGAAAGGTGATCTGACTGCTTGTCCACCTGCCGCAGAATGATGGGTCAGGGTGTTTGAGAATGCTGCCCAGCCCCGGGGCTAATGTGCTGAAGGTCTGGTAGAACACTACATCTGTTGTCCACAGCCATTCCCGCATGGGCCTTTCTAAACACCCCTTCTCTTTGCATCCCTCTCAGCTCACCATGGTTCTCTGGTGATCTAAGTCAGGTGGAAATGAATGGGCTCAAACAGCAGTGTGAAAAGATGTAGAACCATTGTGGTGGAAGGAATTTGTACAGTCCTACCCCACCCAGGGAAAGGGGACTAAGATCTTTCAGTGTTGTGTCTGGTAAGTCTTGACCAATGGAACTGCTCCCAGCTATGTCCTCATGAACCTAAGTCCTATTAGCAGGTGACTAGGCGCACTTACCCTCGGCTGTAGAAAGAACTGATGAAATACATGACAGCCACCTCTGCTCGGGGGGCAGCAAATCAGAGAAAAACAGTGACTGCATTGGTAGCGTGCTCAATCACTCAAGCAGAGGCTCTGAAAAGACTCTTAACGTCACTGCTTGTGGAATGGCCCGTCGAAGCCAGGTCCCACGTGAGGGCCACCTCCAGGATGGCATTCTGTCGACCGTAAAACGTGAAAAAGCCCAGCCTTTGTTTAGCAAGCAATTGATGCCGGTGTTCTTGCCAGCCATCCTCTTTTCACGGTCTCCTCAGCAAGTGGTTGGAAGTCAACGCCTGCCGCGGTTGTTTTCTACCAGTGTTATAGACACCTTCTAGTCATGCTTCGGACGTAGCTAAGGCATGGCAGCGGCTTTGATAATCCGCTTATTGCCACGGACAGAGCTGAAACTTCAGTGCAAATGCGGCTTGATCTAACAACAGTTTCTACCCTCCGTCATCAAGAGATGCTTTTTACTCGCTTATGGGACAGCTGCTCCTCTTCCCCATGTGTCCTTACCGTAAGAGCGCTAAAGGACGCCATCCCCTCTTATTCAACATCAGAACAAGATCTCTGTTGAGAGTGAGATATGTGCATGCTGATGGTGCAGAACTTTCATGTGCATCTTCCCTCTTCGAACACAGCATCAGCTCCACTTCGGTGCTTGGAAGTTGGTACGTGCATGAAAAGCGGGCGGCTTGAGCTCAGCTGGAGTGTGGGCACCTCTGCTGATAGTGGGAGGAGGAAAGCATTGTATTTCAAGCTGTCTGCTCTCGCAGGGTGAAGTCAACAGACGAAGGAAATACATCACTGCTCATGGGTATCCAAGGCACAACGGTGGCCAGGAAAGCTGCTTTTAGACTTTACGTAGTTGAGAGATTGATTCTGTTCTCTCTGATGCGGCCTAGCCATGGAGATGAATGTTTTTGTCATCTGCAGACTCTATCTGAGTGGACTGCAAAGAGCCTGCAGAAACGGAAGCCTCTCTCCTCCACGGACCTCACCAGAGAGCCCATCTCACCAGTGCGCCATTCCTACGCTGGCTCCAATTGACACTCCGGATCTGTTTCATGCTGCTAGTCCTGACCTTCACAGATCATAATGTGCTCAGTCCTGTCTCTCTCCCCCGCTGCCCCATTGCAGTGGCTGTTATCTGAAATAGTGTGGTTCACAATCCCGAAGGTGAAACTCTTTGGACAGCATATTTTAAGTGGAAGACGTTTTGGCTGTGGAATTTCCTGCCATCTGATTGGTATAAATGCCAGACTCTTTCCACACTTAGAGCACAGTGCAAGATCCATCTCTTTGTGCATACCTCCCATAGTCTGGTGCAATAGTGCTTTCCTGGCAGGCAGCCACCAGAGAGGACACTGATAGGGATAGAAGAAGTGGTGGGAAGCTTCGGACCCTTGCTCATGCAGAAATGAAGTCTGATGCATGTGGTATCTAGACAGTTTGGTGATTGGCACGTTGGAAATGAAAATAGATACAATTTTTTAAAGCTTAATGTTTATGGCCTTTCTGTCTCTTAGTCTGGTTCTGAAATATCTTCTGTATGTTTTCAAGACGCAACAGATTTTTGGGCAAGTGGAATGGAAAAGTGAATATACACAGAATAAGCAAACCAATTGAAAAACGGAGAAGAATTCTCTGGAGTAACTATTTTTAAGCTGTTTCAATTTCAGGTATTTAAAAAGGCTAAGATGCTTAGGGAATTGTAGCGCTATAGTTTTGTTTTTATCAAAATTACACCTGCTGTGGGTGGGGATAGGGTTAATCACGTACAGTCTTTGCATTCATATTAATTACTCGGCGGCTTCCCTGCAGAAAGGTGGCGTTGCTTATAAGTTACGTTAAACATGTGTAACAGCTGATAATTAGGTTTTATGTAAATCCAGTGAGATAATGCAATATAATTACATTTTGATGGTCTAATGCATGGTTCATACCATTATCAGCTCTGAGTGGAGAATGCTGTAAAATGTGATAATTATATAAACTTACGGTGGTCCCTCGGCCAGTGCTTAAAATAGCATTAACAAATTTGGAGCTAGAGTGGTTTAGAAAACGTGGCGCAGAGAGCTCAGAAACGATATTGGAAGGGAGGCTGAATCTTGGTGAGGCTGGGCCGTGCTTATGGGTGGTCCTTGTGGGCTCATAGGGAGACGTACACTGTGCTGTAGGCCCCTGTCTGATTACAGCCTCAGGGCACACTTGTATTGCTTGTCTGCTTCCTGCTTGGAACGTTGCATTTGGCCTCTACCTCCTGGCTTTCCAGCCCTTGTCAGTAGGGGAGGAGAAGGGGGTCACTAAAAGTGCTATTCAGTATCTCAGCTTTCCAACCCAGGTCCAATGCATGTTTAAGGTATACAGTCCTAGATACGTATGTTATTGAATAGTACAGGGTAAGGACAAAATGTCTGCTCTGAGTTTTAGCCATAACTTCACAATTTCTGGCTTTTATGGTTGTAACTTATTCCCTCAATGTTATTCCAACACTTATGGTTTGGTTTAGGGTAGTATAAGCTTCTACTTAGTGATGCTTAATCTAAGTTGATCTTCGTGAACGTAGTGACTCATTTTGCCAAAAAACGATTGTCGTCTGGGCGAGTTGAACATCTGGTCACAGTATATCCTCGTGTGGATTTAACTGGGTGACTAGGTTCTGATGTCATTTGCTTCTGATCCTTATTGATAACACACAAGTGGTCTGAGCCCCTTCTTGCCGGTCCGTGAGAGACACTGTCATCAAGATTCCCAACACAAACCTCATGGATCTAAGGAACCTGTATTTTTCAACAAGATTCACTGGTTATAAAATCCAGCAATGAGTTTAGAATTCAGCATCAGCATATATTTTAGCTTTACCTCTGTATATCTTCCTGTAGATTTTAATCAGGCCCTTTATATTAAACTAAACCACAACTCTTCCTGTGTAATACATTTAATAAAAATCTAGGAAAACCTCTTAGTAGTCACAAGACTGTAAATAATGAATGAAACTCTTATGAATGGATATTTATTATCTTCATATCCTATACAAGCTTATTGTGTAAGTGGCATTTTTTAAGAGTACCTTATCTACTCAATCCAGATCCTAACTATTGGATGAACGTTTGGATGGATGTGTTTATGCATGTATGTTACTTACTCAGTCGCCCAGCCTATTGTTGTGTAAGTACAGTCATTGCTAAACATTGCCTAATGTCAAACAAAATTAAACCATTGTAGCAAATGTATATAGCTGGGGTAAATTGTTGAAAATGGTAAGGTTTAACAAAGATAAAGCTATAGCAGTGCAAATGCTTTAAAACGTACCATAGCATTGCCTGATACTTTGTGTATTTTGTGCAGTCTGTTTATCGTTCAGCTGAATATTTCTTTGAAAAGTGCAGTATTGCGACCTGGAAATAGACGTTTTTTCAATCTACAACACAGGCTGCTTTCCCACCGCCACCACAATGACTGTGTGCCTCTGCCATCCTCCGCGGGCGCCACCTTCATGTCCTTTGTTCTCAGCCCTTCTGCTGAAACTGATGACTAATTAGTG